TATATAGTAGTAGAATATATATATATATATATATATATATATATATATATATATATTTATATATATTTTATACGGGATAGAAAGTAAAATAACTATATTATTAATAATTGCATAATTCAAATTAACTATCATACAATTTTATAAAGGGTATAAATGTCGATTTTTCTTAATTTGGAATAGGAATCTTGATGACAAGTCGAGTGTATGGTTGTTCATGAACATAAATGAAGTAGGATAGAACAATAACATCGAGAGGGGAGGAATATATTAGAGAAGGTATATAATTTATGTATCAGAGAGATGATATAATCTCTAAATACAAAACAGAGATGTATCCTAGAGGAGAAAAATGTATCCAAAAAAGAAATAGAAATGTATCGGCGACATGAAATTGATATATTTGAGAGACGATTTTTAAATTTTTTAGAGATTCTAATAAAAATAAGATATATATTTTAAATTTTTTTCTATATATTAAGGAGTTTCTTTTTGATCCATATAAATCTTTCTAAATAAAAATTACTTTTGCTAATGAAAGACAACACATATTTGTAATATAATCAAGGTAAATGCAAACTAACATGATTCCATCATCATTTTAAAAAGAAAAAATCTATAGTGTATCACCAAAAGTATATATTATAATAATATTAGTCATAATTTCCCACGCAATATAAATTAAAAAAATTTTATTCTTCTTTTTCTTCCTTTCCATATTTCCTTATGTTACGCAAAAATGTTTGCCGCGTCCAAAATTGTGTGTATAACGACAACTTGAAAAACAAGTTTTATCTGTCTCAAATTATCTGATACTTTTATTTTTTTGAAATTCAAATTACACAAATATTATAAGTATTTTAAAATGTATATTTTTTTCCGTTTATCGATATGAAAAAGTTTTCACTAATGATACTAATTGTATAATTTTTAAATATTTAAATTGATTAAATCTATTTAATTTAAATTAATATTTTAAAAGTAAAAAAAATATATATAATTATTTTGAAACCAAAAAAATAGTATAGTTGTTAGAAGAATTGAGAAGTCAATTTCAATGTTGTTATTACGCGTTACGTTATTGCAAAAAACAGTTCATTAACTGGCCTTCCACTTGTTTGACATTTTGTGAAATTTTATTTCTTGATTTTTCATATTTATTTTAAAAAATATAATTTAAATTTGTATTTTTAATATTTAAATTGATGTAACATGCATTATCATATAAAAAAATTAGAGATCAATTTACCTCTGTCAGTATTTTTTAATCGAAATTATATATCACATCAAATTTATTTAATACAATTTATATTCCTAGTGATCTGTAAGTTGTTAAATCGCAATAAATTTATCTAGTACGACACTCAAAAATAGTAACTATAAATTTTCAAAAGAAAAGGACTCATTTATATGGGAAATTCTCCTTGGGGATATAAAAACTTTCTAAAATCCAAATTTAATTTTTTATTTATTTATTTTATCACAATTCTTATTGATTACATTTTGTTATTCATAAAATAAATTTTATATTATTTTTCTTAACCCTAGATATATTTCATCTACACAAACAAACAAAAACTAACAAACCCCACTTAGTTTTAATTTTATAAATTTAAAACAAGAACCTTGTCTTCACCTCACCAAAAAGCCAAAAAGTAACTTAATATAATAAAAGAGAAACTAATTGCCGGCCTCATTTCACCGACTAACCTTTAAACTAACTCCAAACATAGGGACGGAGTTAGAAATTTATGTCTTATTTATCTCATAATTAAAATACGATAACAATCGATCATATACTATCTTTTCATTTAGGAGAAAACTTCAAATATTCTATGAAACTTAAAAAAAATTATTTACACCGATCATTAAGAGTTTGACATGACTATATTATCCTCATTTGAGAAAAAGTTTATCTGTATCAGTTAAAATTTTAACTCACATATATTATTTTCATTTGAGAAAAAACTTATCCATACACATTATTCGTTAACTGATAAAATTTTTGATTTTGTAAAATTATTTTTACACGTCTTTTCCCTTTTTATCTACGATTATTTCTTTAGTTTCAATTTGTCTTCACGTTATCTGTATCTCTCTTAATATCTATTCTGCTACAATTAAGTAATTAAAAAAAAAGTGATTCTTAATTGGATTTCAACGAACAATTATACTTTTAAACTTTGAATGCACGAGTAACCATTTAAACTTGTATAAAATTAAACAAGTAGACATGTGTGTCCTACAACATGCAGAATGTTACATAGAATACAAAACTACCATGATGGATAAATGTGTCTATTTGCTTAATTTTATATCAGATAATTATCTATTCAAAATTATTATCGGTTAACATTAAAATAACAGTTATATTTATGTGTTATACCAAACAAAATAGATGGTTAGCAAATAACTACTATCACTAATAGGTTTTCTTTTTTCTTCTATTGATGGTGAAACATAGATCCATATTTTTGTAATGGGGAAGCTAACAAGAGGAAAATGTCTATATGTGTTGCTAAAAGTGATAACCATTAGATTTATAAATTAATATTTCAAATTCATCTCTCAAATCCTTATTCTTTTTCTTTTAAAAAATAAAACAATTCACTCTTAATTATTGACTTAATTATAAATTATTCCAAAACCCTAATGCTTATATTAGTAGAATAAAGATCAACATTATAAAGTCAGACACTTTTAATTATTAAAGTGAGAAAATATTTTTATTTTTATTTTTAAAAAAGAGGGAGAATATATAGTAAGCTACTAATAGCTACTACACACACAACTATTAGAGAAAGTGAGAGGATCTAGTGGGTTTTGAGCTGTGATTTAGCTGTCTTTTTTTTATTTTGGAAATTTCTTATTTCTTACAAAATAAAATAAATAAATAATTTTTTTCTAAAAAATAATAATTTTAAAAGTATTCCTTTATTCTTTATTCACACAACCCCAAAATCCCTAATCTAAAAATAAATTCAACCCCTCTCTCTCTCTTCAAATCTCCAAAAAAAAAACAAACCTATTTTCATTATCTTCTTCTTCTCCACAAAACTTCATCTCTTTCATCTCACATTTTTGGTTAAAGATTCCATTTTTAAACTAAAAATAAAAAAAATTCCACAAACCCCATTTCTTAAATCCATTTTTCTTCATAGATCTTCACTTTTTTCATCTCACATTTGGTTAAAGATTCAATCTTTGAACTGAAAAAAGCATAGCATTCTTGATTTTCAGATGACTTATATGTGAGATGAAGGAGAAAACTCAAACACCCATTTGTTCTCTGTTTTTTCTTGTGCTCTGTTTTTTGTGTTGTTCAGTCTTTACTGAACACACAAATGCTGAGTTTACTGTTTCTGAAAATGGTCCTTTAACTGATTCTGAAGCTCAGTTCATCAAACACAGGCAGCTTTTGTATTACAGAGATGAGTTTGGTGATAGAGGTGAAAATGTGAAAATTGATCCATCTATGGTGTTTGAGAACGATAGAATCAAGAATGCTTATATTGCTTTACAAGCATGGAAACAAGCTATCATTTCAGATCCCTTTAATATCACTATGAATTGGGTTGGTCCTAATGTATGCAGCTACACCGGAGTCTTCTGTGCTCCGGCGTTGGATAATCCGAAAATCCGTACAGTTGCCGGCATTGACCTTAACCATGGCGACATTGCAGGGTATCTCCCGGAAGAGCTTGGTCTTCTTACAGATCTTGGGATTTTCCATATCAATTCCAATCGTTTCTGTGGTACAATACCGAGAAAGTTGAACAAGTTGAAGATACTGTTCGAGCTGGATCTGAGTAATAACAGGTTTGCCGGGAAGTTTCCTTATGTTGTTTTGAGTTTACCCAAGTTGATATTTTTGGATATTAGGTTCAATGAATTTGAAGGTAATGTACCTTCGCAGCTTTTTGATAAGCCACTAGACGCCATTTTTATTAATCATAATCGTTTTGCGTTTGAGCTGCCGGAGAATTTTGGGAATTCGCCGGTTTCTGTGATAGTACTTGCGAGTAACAGTTTTCATGGGTGTCTTCCGGCGAGTATTGGGAATATGAGTAATCTTAATGAAGCGATTTTAATGAATAATGGGTTGCGTTCTTGTTTGCCGGCGGAGATTGGGTTGTTGAAAAATTTAACTGTATTTGATGTGAGCTTTAATGAGTTGATGGGTCCGTTGCCGGAGAATTTTGGTGGTTTGGTGAATTTGGAGCAATTGAATGTCGCACATAATATGCTTTCTGGTACGATTCCTAAAAGTATTTGTCAGCTTCCTAAGCTTGAGAATTTTACCTATTCGTATAATTTCTTCACCGGTGAACCGCCGGTATGTTTGGCGTTGCCGGAGTTTCATGATCAACGGAATTGTTTGCCCAACAGACCGGTGCAACGGTCTCCGGGACAGTGTAAGGCGTTTTTGTCTAAAAAAATTCATTGTAGTGCTTTTAAGTGTCATAAATTTGTTCCTGTTTTGCCACCTCCACCACCACTTTCACCACCGCTGCCTGCCCCTCCTCCGCCGCCTGTTTATTCGCCTCCGCCACCAGTTTATAATCCTCCTTCACCACCTCCACCACCACCACCCTCTCCACCTCCTCCATCACCTCCACCACCAGTCTATTCACCACCACCTCCATCTCCTCCTCCACCACCACCAGTCTATTCACCACCACCACCACCTCCATCTCCTCCTCCACCATCACCTCCACCCCCACCACCACCATCTCCACCTCCACCATCACCCCCACCACCAGTTTATTCACCACCACCTCCCCCTCCACCTCCTCCCCCACCAGTTTATTCACCACCGCCATTGCCTTATTGTGTACGCTCACCTCCACCTCCACCTCCACCACCAAATTCTCCACCTCCTAATTCACCACCTCCACCGCTTGCTCACTCGCCTCCACCCCCTTCACCTTACTATTACAATTCACCACCACCTCCGCCCCCAAATTCGCCACCTCCTCCACCAAATTCGCCTCCTCCACCACCACCAACATACATTTACTCATCACCTCCGCCACCAAATTCACCACCTCCTCCACCACCACCATACGTATACTCTTCACCTCCACCACCTCATTCCCCTCCACCTCCGTCCCCATTACCTTGTATAGAACCCCCTCCACCCCCTCCTCCATGCATTGAACCACCCCCACCACCTTCCCCTTCACCATCTCCTCCACCACCACCAATGTATCATTACAATTCTCCGCCCCCACCATCTCCATCACCTCCTCCCCCACCGGTATATCACTACAATTCTCCACCCCCACCATCACCATCACCTCCTCCACCACCAGTATATTACTACAATTCTCCACCCCCACCTCCACCATCACCACCGCCTACTCCAGTATACGAAGGGCCATTGCCACCAGTAATAGGAGTTCAATATGCTTCACCACCTCCACCACCCTTTTATTAATTCTTTCAAAAAATTCCACTAACTTATCCTCAAAAGCACAAAATCATCCCTACAATTATTATTTCCTCTACTCTTCAAGCCATCAACAAAATCGAGCTAATATAGGATCACAAACCTTAAATGGTACGACAGAAAGAACGATTAGACTGTGGAGAGGAGGTAAAGAGGAGAAAGATTCAATCTTTAAAGATTGTATTTTTGAATTGTTATGAAATAGATTGAAGTTGTGGAGAGAATAAATTGGCAAAGTAAAGATTGAAACTTTGCAAGAAAATGTATGTATAGAGATCATAATCTGGGCTTAAATCCAGTTTACAGTGCTTGCTGCATCTGGTTTTTTTCTTATTTTGTGAGTTTTTATTGTTAGATTTTAGTTTCATCATACTTTGTATCTTTATTTTTTTGGGTTTTTTTTCTTCTTCTCAAACTATAGTATAATGATGAGCATTTTCTGTTTTACTTGTATTGATTCTCAAGAATTCAGATTATTCCTTTGTGTTTTATGTATATTTTCTTGATCTTGCAAAGCTCCAAATCTAGTTTTGTTTCCATAGTGATATGTACAAATTGCATTTATTTCAAGTTAAAGTTTTTGGGTAGTTGGTCTATTATCAATGCTAAAGGTAGAGTACATGTTGTTTGTTCATTGATTACCAATGTATATCACCTCTAGTTGTTAATTTGTTGGACTTGTGTGGTGGTCCTTATCTTTTGGCTTTAAAACAAGAACTCCATTGTTGTAGTAAATGTGCGATTTAGCAGTTAATGAAGCGGGTGAAAATTTTGTAAATAACAATAGACAATGAAATAGGTGAAAATCTTAGGGTTTGGCACATGTCACGAACTTAGGTGTTTAAACCTTGTTGTTAGTCTGGTATTTAAGCGGAGAAGGTAAGAGGGATAAGTATGTTACAAACCTCAGGGTCCAAACATCAAAGTGAGTAGTTAAGATGTATGATTAGACAATGAAATATGTGAAAATCTTAAGGTTTAGGGTTTGATGCACGTCACGAACTTAGGTGTTTAGACCTTCTTGTTAGTCTGATATTTAAGCAGAGAAGGTAAGGGGTTAAGTATGTTACCAACCTAAGGATGCAAAGATCAAAATAGACGATTTAAGCTAAGATGTATGATAAACTGATTCGAACATCACGACTATAAAAAAAAAAAGTCAATAACTTCATTGATAGCCATTGGTAAGAAAAAGCAAAAATCTTTTATTTCAAAGGGTCAAGATTCTTCCGGACTTATATGCTGGAATTGAGGTAATTTGATTAAAAAATTATATATTTTACAGTTATATGATGTCAACACTTGGAACTTTTTGATCCACCAAAATTAATTTTTTAAAATATAATATTTTATTTCGTTTCAAAATAAATATTTATTTTTTAAATTAAAAAAGTCAATGTGATAAATTATTAAAATTGAATTGAATAAGATTAATCTAAGTCTTCCTTTGATTAAGGGGAAATAGTTTAAATTCAGTCTTAAATTGGAAGTCTCCATCACTAATTTAGGGAAAAGTAATTAATTCCATTATCACTTTGCTAATTAAATTCAAATTTCTTTAGTCATTTTTTAAAAAATATATAAAAGTTAGGTTTTCAAGATTCCTCAAGTCATCTTCTCTCTTCCTTTTCATGATAATCGTGGTATTCGAAGCAGGTTATATATATTATAAAAAAAATTCGTTAACAAGGTAAATATTCAGGTAATTAGCCAATCAAATTACTAACATTGTCTACTTTTTGTATTTACGGTTTCACTTATATCTACTTTATCGTTATTCAAATATTTTGTATCAAGAATTGAATGTTTCAATTAATTTGAATTTACACTTTCCATTACAAGGATTTAAGTGTTACTTATTGAAATCAAAGTGAATGTTAACTCTAAATTATAAATCTTTAGGTTCAACCTAATAGAAATGAAACTTAAATATTTATTCGGATTCGATATTTATTTTAATATAACATAGTTAAGTTGAAAAATGTTATTTATGGCCTAGTTCCTACTTTGCTATTTGTTGCCCAAAAAAAAAAAGCAACAGGAAATGGTTTAAAATAAATTACTACAATACGAAATATTTTAATTTTTCTTCCGTCATTTTTTCGTGATTGAATTACTTGATTTAAGTATCTTTTGAAAACAGTCTCTCTACTTTCATGAGGTACGACAAGATTTATAACACATTAAATCTACTTTTGAAGATCAAGGAAAAATACGATAATCTTCGCACAATGATAGTATGAGTAAGCACAACCAAGAGGGAGAATTTGATAAAATTCATGTATTTTATAGACGCTAAATTAAATATAATTTTTTTATTAGATATTTAAATATTTATTCATACTCGATATTTACGTATTTTAAAAACACTAGAGCCTCTTCCTTCTAGCCGTTGATATAACTTTAAGATTTTTTTCGACAATATTTTCAATTAAAAAACCCTACAAAATATGTATTTTCATTTAGTATTGTGTCCTAAAAAACATCACACGTGAATATACCTAACAAAATTACCCCATTTTATGGGTCACTTGTTGTCTATTCAAATCGGGCCAAATTTGTGGAATGAGTGATATCGTAACCGTTTTTGATTTCGAACTATATAGTTATAGATATTATTCGATATTTTTTTAGGTCTAAAATATTTTGTTATATAGTCATAATTATTGATTCAATAAACGCGTATTGACTTACTATTTCAAACACATCTCAATTTATTATTATCGTTCCTTTCTCCTCAACATTCTTTTCTCTTCAATCAGTGGTATACCTGTATACCGCGAAAAATAATCAGTTAAATATTCTTCGTTAAAAATTTATAATATATACTATATATATTGAAAATTTAAATTTATCAATGAAATTTTTGTTTTTACCGCTATATTCAATTTATTTACCTTTTTTTTCTTCTTCTTCAAATAAAGTGTTTAGAGAAATAAATCATGAACCCTCCTCATATAAAAGAGCTTGTGGTTTCATTAGTTAATAAATAATGCTCTTTCATTATTTACTCGATTTGATATTCGTATTAAAATATTAAATTATATAATTTGAAATAAATATCGACAGCGAGTAAATATTTATCCACTTAATCGAACTCTTTAATTTTAAAGTTTTTTTGGTTGTTTGTATTAATTTGTTGTCTTTATTTATAGTACTCTTTTTCACCAACCCTTCTCTTTCGAATGCATTTTCTTATTCTTATATTTGGTCAACATCAATATGGGACTTTTTCCACATTGTTTATATTCTATCAACACCAACCAAAAAAAAAAAAGAAGAAGAAAAGAATCAAATTTTTTTATATTTTGATGTTACTTGAGTGATAAATATTTATTCTAAAGGTATTTATATTAAATTATATTAATTTATTATCGTTAAGTAATTTATTAAGGTAGAATCCATATTAAGTTATCATGAATGTAAGTGATAGACATCATATTATGATCTCAGTTGATAATTATATATCTAAATTTTGAGATTGCATAGTTAGACACCTCATCTCGGCTCTAATATGTCAATTGAACAACCCAGCTTATAAAATGATCATGTAGAGTACACCTCTAAAATTTATGTGTCACGTCATCATCAAGGTGTCCACGAGATATAGTGTGGACAAGTTGATATGCTTAGATATATATATATATATTCCCAAATTAAAGTTAACATGTCTCGTTACCAGTTGAAGATAATGATAAACGTGCTTTTGCTCTGTTCGTTTTGAATCTGGAAATTTATACTTGTTAGAAACTCTCTTCTTTGTATTTCTGACTTTTAAAATTTATCTGTATTCGATATTTGCACTTTTAAGCCTCAAAACAATGTTCATCAACCTGGTGTAAAATTTAATTCCAAAGTAAGTGGGAAAAAAAAAGATTTTGGAATATAAGAAGGCTAAGTGATATATATTTATATATATAACATAGAACAATAATGTCATTGTATCTATCATTTTCTAAACTCTTATAACAAATGATAGTATATAATATGGCTAATACATAAATGCCACCAATTAATGGAAGTAATTGGTAAATGGGGTCCAAATCAACATTATATTTCACATGGCTTTGTTTGTTAGAGAAATTCTCACATCACCATCTACTCAATTTCTTGGTTGTTGATTAGTGAGTTGGTTGACTAATAAGTGTACTTAATTATATTAATAATAAAAATAAATATACAATTTCAAAAACATTAAAATAATTAGTAGTCATTTATTTAGAGCCTCAAATGACAGGCTGTGAGTAGGTCAAATATATTAATTATCGATATGTCACATATCTCATATATACCCCATTATATTTACTCTCAAACAAACATAATTCGAAATAATAACAATCGATCAGTTATTTTAAATTTGAGCCTGAATAAAGAGTTATTTTTTATCGTAAATCATTATATTCCTAATATGTAGATTTTTTATTTTTTTGAAAATGAACCTTATGGGGTGGGGGGATTTAAAGTGCTCTGGCTAGGTATATATATATATATATATATATAAATGATATCATAATAAAAAAAGTTAAAAATTTGAGGTACAATGCAAAATAAAGTAGAGATATTCCATACTTCTTATATTAACGTGTTATTGTATGAAAAGTTTTAAATAATATTTTTAAGTTAAATAATATTTTCTTAACAAAAGAAAATCCAACTTTAGTTAAAAAATATAATCTGAATCACTATTTACAAAGTCTAAACCTTCTTTTTTTTACTTTTTGCTACACTTTTTTCCAACTTGTTAAGAAATATTTTGAATCATTAGCTTTTTCTTTCTTTTTCTTTTTGGTATATATATATATTCATTAGTTTTCTTGACTTGTAATACTTTTTTATATAATTTTCAAAAATGTAATTTTTAATATAAGAAATTATATCAAATTTTAAGTTAAAATTTAGTAATTTAACCTTTATACTTCGATCCATGCAATGTGAGAAAGATTTGAGTTCGAAATGTCAATCTCCCTTAATTTAGCCTTTTGCTATTTCACTACCAGTCATTGGATACGATGACGTTACTTAAAATTAAGAAAAAAAGAAACACGTACAACAAAATAATCGAGAATCCTCCTTTATATATATTCAATAAGTATTGCATAACCCCTTTTACTAAATTATAAAGAACCCTAAATAGTTTAATAAGTTGTCATGATAATACTTTTCGACATCGAAAATTCTCTTCAAACACAAATGTATAAATTGGAACGTTAGAAGTGTTAAAAGAAGTACATATAACAACATGTTAGGAGACCAATAAACCCTTAATGATCATATATAATAATGTTAGTATTTATTGTTTTTGAAGAACTTTTAATAGATCTTGTTCAAGTTGTATAAAAACTATTTTAACATAACCATATTTCTAAGAAAATTGCAAATCCCCATTTAGGCTAGAATTGTAGTCTCTGTCTAAAAGAATGAAATGCCAAAAAGTATAGAATATAATATTAATAAATATAATAAGAATATTAAAAAGGGAAGTAGTTGGTATGAAAAAAGGGAATAAAGAATGTAA